CGATCAAAATCACCACCCAAGTATAATTTTAGGTGTTGGCCATTAACTTTGAAAACTCTTCCAAAATCTTATTTCATAATATCAATTGCCCTGTAAGGTGTAACAGAAACCATCTTAAATGGACTAGACCATCTAGATCTCAGCTTACCTGAAAATAACTTCAACCGAGAATTATATAACAAAACAAGTTGTCCAAGTTCAACATGCCTAAGTAAAATATGGCTGTCATGCAATCTTTTAGTCTTTTCCTTCACTAGTACAAAATACAATTTTAATGACACTATTTTCTCTACAATTATATAAGTAACTTTAGTTGTAACACAAATAATAATTCTAAAGTATAAATTGCAAACTTATAATGACAGGTCTCAATAAAACCTGTCATAGTTATGTAAATATTAAGTATTAATATAAATAAATTAATATAAATAATAATAATTAAAACTAATATTAGTAGCTTAAATATATAACGACAATGACCTGTTGTTATTACTAATGAAGCTATCGTTAATGCCTAAGCTCCATTCCTTTTTTAACTTCAGCTCTAGCATCCTTCACTCGATATTGATAATAATATTTTTATTTTGGTCAAATCCTCAACTCATATTAACGTTACTATGAATAATAAGTATAATATTAATCAATATTATATTGGTATTTATATTATTATCAATAATATTATTAATATACTAATATTAATATTAACATTAAATAAATATTATAATAATTAAGTAATGTTATGTTATATTATTAAATATTATTATTATTTAAAGCATCTAACGACAGGTCCCCTAGGACCTGTCGTGATATGTGTAGCATGCTTTCTGATGTATTTTATTTTTTTTTTTATCAAGCTAATATTAATGCTAATATAAATAATAAGTATATTATTGATAATATTATAATCAATTATAGGATATTATATTATTCATAATATTATTATTATTAAAGCATTAACACTATTAATGTTAATATTGACATTATGTAATTTTACAAATCATATAATATTATTAATATAATAATAAGTATATTATATAATATTATTTATCAATTATTATTATATTACATATTACTTATTATATTAATTACATTTATATTTCATTATACAAATTTAATAATTTTTAATATATTTAATTTTTTTTGGTCAAACACAAATATTAATGTTAATATAAATAATATTTTAATTTTTTTTTTGGTCAAATTCACAATATTAATGTAATATAATATAAGTATATTATTAATTAATATCATATTATTGATTATGGTATATTATATTATTACTATTAATATTAATATAACATTAAATAAATATTATAATAATTAATTAATATTATATCATATTATATTATTAAATATTATATCATTTTTAAATGCATACCAATGATAGGTCCTATAAGACCTATCGTTATAGTTATATTTTAAATTTAAGTTTTTCCCTCATTTACCTTTAGTTCTTATACCTCATTCACTTGTCTTTCAACTTGCACTTTCAGCCTTTAGCTCTCCCTCTGCCTTCAACTACTCTATCTTTACTCTTAGCTCTCAGTGCCCCGTTGCTCATCAGCTTCCCATAGCTCATCCACCTTCAGCTGCTCCTCCCCCTACAACTTCAGCTCCTTCTCCTCCCCTTGCCTTTCAACTCCTTCCTCTCTGCTCTTCAGTTCCTTCTACTCCACCCTTTAGCTTATTGTCTCCATTGTTAGCTCATCATCAGCTCGCCCTAAGCTCTCATTGTAATTGTTTAGCCTCCAGCTCGCCTTCGTGCATCCATCCAAGTATTTTTTTACTCTTATTCTTAATTTTTTAAGTTTTCTCCTTATACATGTCTAGCTCTCTCTATTCTTATATTTTTTTTATGAGATTAATTATTTATTTTTAATATTTTTAACACCCATTCTGATCAAGTTGTTCATATTTTAGTCAAGTAATTATTTGATTGCTTGAAATGGTTGTATATTTTATTTATAATTGTTTATTATCTATTGAGATTGGTTGAAATTCTCGTTATGCTATTGATTTTTTTAAAATTTCATAATATAAATTAGCTGTTCATATTTTAATTGGTAATTATTTGATAACTTAAATGTGTAAAAAAGCTTGATTATTCATTAAGATTTGTTGAAATTGGTCATGTGTTTATTTTTATTTCTAATTTAATATTTTTGTTATTATTAAAGGTACCTCCACAAAATATGCACCCAACTTAATGTCAATCATTATTATGGATTATTATCCATACTCTTAACTTTAGTTGACAAACCAAATCAAAAAGTGTCTTATTTTGGAAGAACATAGGCTAAAGAAGATGTGTTTTTTTTTTTGCACTAATTATTGAAAAGTTTTAAATTTCTAATTCATATATCAATTTATAGAAATTTTGCTTAATGATGTGATATTAATATTAACATATATGGTAGCAATCATTGGAAGTATAAGTGGCGATATGAAGTCATTGATTGAATTATAAGTTTTTTTAATAACTCTTTTTTGTGATATTATTTGAAATTTTTAATATTTTCTATGTGTGTATATTTGATAAATAAATTTTTACTCCATTATTGGAAGTTAGCAGATATAGTTGACGAGAAAAAACTAAAGTCAAGTGGCAAGTATGTATGCAAGTAAATATTTTAAATTTATTCCCTATTAGAATAAATATTATACTATTAGTTTATTTTCTTACTAGTGGTCTCAACCATTAGGAAATGTAAGATGTGGTTATTACATAATCATCACTCAATATATTACCCACTTATTTGATAAGGTAATAATTGGATAAAGGTGCAATTTTATTTTTAAACTTTTTCTCGAGGAGCAATTTTACCCTTATACTCATAAGTGGGACATAAATAGAATATTTGGTCCAGTTGCTTTCTAGAAATGATAAGACTAGAGAACTTTCTAGAAATGATAAGACTAGAGAAGATAATTAGATAGATATTTGTATTAGATATGTAGAAATTCAATTGATATGTTTGTATTAGTTTCTGGACTTGCTGTTTTTGTTTAAATGCAGGTTTTTGTAAGTAAGGGGTGTATAGCATATCATATCTATTTTTTGTTGAAAAAAAAATCACATATCGCGACAGTTATGTGCAAAACTGTCGCAAAAGACATATTTATAATGACAGTTTTAACTAAAATTGTAGCAATAAGTAAATACTTACAACGACAGGTGATAGTGGAACTATCATTGTAAGTGATACTTTTCATGACAGTTATTCCTTTGAACTGTCACGAAAAGTAATTACTTACAATGACAGTTCATTGATTCACTGTCGTAAAAAATAATTACTTACCACTACACTGGCTTCTACTACACCACTTCTTGTGTTGCGAAAATAGCTTTTCAACTGTCGCGAAAAATGCTTTTTGCACTAGTGCTTATAAATCTTGGAGCTTTCATGAGCTTGCAACCTAAACTCATCAAGCTCATTTAGTTGCATCAACCTCTTCTCACCCACTTTGCTCATGTCAAAATTCAATTTCTTAATTGCCCAAAATGCTTTGTTCTCTAACTCAATGGGTAAATGACAAGCTTTTTCAAACACCAATTGGTATGGGGACATACCTATTGGGGACTTGTAAGCTTCCTGTAGGCCCATAATGTATCATCAAGCTTATCCACCCAATCCTTCCTAATAGGACCTATAGTCTTTTCCAAAATTCCTTTTCACTCTCTATTAGACACTTCACACAACCCATTAGTTTGAGGATGATATGCCAAAGACATTTTATTAGTGACTCCATATCTTGTAAGCAAATTGTTGAACAACTTGTTTTTAAAACGAGTCCCCTCATCACTACTGATTGCTTTAGTTATGCCAAAATGGTTAAAAATATTCTTATTCACAAAACGCACAACCATGTTAGCATCATTAGTATGGCATGTTATGGCTTCCACTTATTTACTCATATATTCAATAGCTATTAGGATGTACTAATAAGGTCCCATAAAATCTATTCCCCATACATCAAACAATTCAACCTTAAGAATACCTAACTAAGGCATTTCATGTTTTTTTAAGATGTCACCTATTCTTTGACATGCATCACAATGAGAACCAAAGGCACTAGCATCTTTAAACAGAGTTTGCCATTAATAACCACATTTTTTTATACCTCTCCTATGCAGTATATAAGTGCTCATCCAATAGTTGCATGAAATTGATCAAATCATGCCTAGTGTAAAATCTGAATCTGTACTGTAGATTCCCGTCTCAACCCGGGCTTTATCATTCCACATCACACAATTAATAAATCAAAATGAGAGTAATAGCCCTTTATTTGTTTTCAAATTGTAGGATCCTGACTTCTCAAAATATATATTCAAATAAGAGGGCTAACGGAAGCATAAACATAAACAAACAACTTGAAAAGCCACAACTTTTCAATTCTAAAAATGGGCCATGTGCCGCAGTGTACAACACATGTATCGTGGCATATGGTACAAAACCACATGCTCTGCTCCTGGCTACGTCATGTGCCATAGTGGATACACCAAGAGCTATGGCACACCTGTTTGAATTTATGCTGTCATTTTGATAGTAAAAATGGTGAATTTTCATGTGCGATGTTTTCATACTCGACGCCCGATTGGAGTGATTCAAGTGCCAACATAAAGCTTACAATGTATACTAGCTAATGGAATAAGTTTGGACTCGATCTGATGGTTCAATCTAAAATTGGACACCTGGTACAAACCGTCACTATTTCTTTCAGAAATTTACACCTTGAGTGCTCAATTCTCATTTCTTATCCCATTAGATCACTTTGGACCTTGACCTAAGTCCAAAAGGTCTACACACACATGATTAACACCACAATACACATATATCACATCAATAACCCATTTTGGCCTTTCAAAGCCACTTTACACAGTTGTGGTCTTATATGAGGAATCATATATATACAACACATACTCATAAATGCAAATAGACTTGTTTCACTTTTAACCCTCTGACTCTTACATATGGGGTTTTGCCTCACCATATGGTTGGGAATCACAAATGTACTTGACTTTTCCAAATGAGACTCCGCCTCACCATTTGTGTCAAGTTCTTTTCCATTTGTATCAAATTCTCACATAACAATACAAATCACATTCAATTCACGATTAACACATAATCACATTATACAAGTTACAACACACATATATTATCTTGTTTTGCATTTAGGCCTACCCACGTACCCTCCACTAGGCACCCTTGGCACAATGCAACATCATATACATATATATACAAACAAGTTTCACATCATAGTTCAACTTACCTTTATGCATCCTAGTTGGCAACTTAACTCTATCAGCATATTATACATTCATTTCTACTCAAAGGTAGTAATGCCACTACCAATTGAAGCTACTCTTTCCTCGCTTCCTTTCCCGACCTTCTCGTGCTCTTTTCACCTGTGTTCAAAAGTAACGGAGTGAGACATACATCCCAGTAACTCGAAGGTAACTCCAATTACTGGTTAGTAAGTAAAATCATAATCAAGCGATCCACATCTTCTATTTTTACTAGCTTTGTTTCTCTACAAACAGCAGTTGTGTCTCCATTGCACTCTACTTAAATTATAGCAATTAATTTCTGTTAATTCCGTGAGCAATAAAAAACAAAATATACTATCTAGGTCCCAACCTTCATATAATTATTTTTCAAAAATAGAATAATACAAAGTAATGAACCTAGACACGTGTCCCAGTTGTGGTAAGGCCCCCACACAAACAATAAGATACTACATAAAGATACAAATAAAATAAAAACAAAATAGGATTAGATGACAGCATGACCATGAAATGCGACTCTCTTTTATCATCATCTTCAAATTTTCTGTTTGAGAAAAACTAAATGAAAATTGAATCTGCAAGGCTGTAGAAAAGGCCCGTAGAAACCAAATCTTGTTCTTACTAAAGGAGACACAGAGAGTTGACCCAAATTAAAGTGGAAAAGGGAACATTAAGCTGATGGCATAGATCAATTCTTACTGTGTTAAGAGATCTTTTCTTGAAATGATAGCCCAGAACCACCCAACTTCCCTTCAATCACTTTGGACAATTTCTCTACCATCAATGGCGTAAAATGATTAACCCAATCACCTACTTCACCTTTCCTAAAGAACTCCCTGTTTTCAAACATGTTTAAAAACTTTCCAGTCTTGTTCACCTCTAATTCCTTCATCTTCCCAAAGCTGCACAGCTCAATTATGTTATCAATAACACCTTCACTTTCTTCCTCAGAATTGAATGGACAATTCATGAATTCAGCCAGCCTTTTCAAGTAGAACTTTATATCCCCTTTCAAATCCTCATACCTTGAAAACAAAATCTTGTTTGGTCTCTCATTGCTTTCTCTCCAATAACTCAACATATTTATCCAAAATGGACCAGTCTCATAGCTCCCATTTGAGTAGCTCTCCAATGCTTCTTCGCGTGATAATTTGGGTACAGATGGTGGTACAACTTTGTTTAAAAACAGCCAATACGATACGAAATTGTCGAATGGGTTACGACATATATAGATGATCTTGCATTTGGATTTTGTAATTGAATCGGGCAATGAATGAAAAGGAACATGTGTGCTGAAAAGTCTTGGTTCAGGCAATATGGAGAGATCAGGAATCTGGTTGTTTACATAATGATGGTACTCAAAGAAGGGAACAAGGTCATGTGGATTAGAGAAGAGTAAAGGATGGTTATTTTGTGAAGGAGGGAAACGCTTGCGATTCAAAATAGAAAAAGCAAGGGCTTTCAACCAAGTAGTGCCAGATTTTGGCAAGGATGTCAAAATAATATCACTGTCTTTTGCTTGGAAATGCTTCTGAAAAGATCTTATGGCTTGGATTTGAAGTGGTACATACCAAATGTCTTTGTAAAGATAGATGTATGGGTGGCGGAAACCCTTGGTTTTGGGAAGAGAAGGAAGAAGTTGCCTACATTCTTGGCTAAGGTTTTCATATTCTTCATCAAAAGCCTCATTCTCAAGCTCAACACTTGAGTGGCTTCCTTTGAGCAATGTGGTAGTAGTTTCAGCCATTGGAATGCCGCTATAGTGAATTAACACTCATTTATTTATAGGAAGTTCGGTAATAATAAAACAATTGTGAGGTAAAAATCGTGAAGGCCTATCCAAGATATTTTCAGACAATAGTACGTAACGCCTTTCAATTGTTTTTGGATTTTTCCCTTATCATTTTGCATGTGAAAGATACGTTTGATTTTTTTTTTTTAATACATGGTTGTGGAAACCCATGAAAGAAGAAGAAATTATCTAGTTACATCAAAATGCATGATATTTCTACATCTGGGCCAAGGGAGCTTGCTGCACCCAATTCAAAATTTCCCAAGGAAGGAAAATTGAATAAAAATATTTAAAAGTCACCACCAAAATTTTAAAAGAAATTTTAAAAGCCTTTTTAATGTGTGGTCTACATAAGTGAAAAGGATACGGGAGTTAATTGTACGTGGAGAAGATGCTAGGCATTGCACACAACACCCATTGACCATATGAATATTTAGACTAAGTTAACTATATAAATTTAAATGGCCTTAAAAAATTATTGTTAATAAAAAATAAGATAATTAAAAGAAAAAATTGTATTTATCTATAAGTTAGACTTGAACTATAAAGCCATAGGACCTACATATCATTTAGAGGGATCAAAGGCCATATAGTTTGGGGTAAAATGCATATCTCTTGGTTGATTTTTTTAAAAAAATATTAACTATTAATTTTTTAATAAAATAATTTTAATATTGGTTTGTATTTTTTATTCATGAAATTAATTTATTTCTTTATTTGTGAGAAGGTTTTGAGAAGTAATTTGGGAAAAATATTTTGATCAGATTTATGATGATTTTATATATCCTAAAATCTATCTTTCAAAAATGATTTATTTCATTTTTTTATTTAGAAAAACCTTTCGCTTTTATTTATGAATAAAATATTTTTAAATATGTACCCACAATAATTTATTGCCGCATTCGATGAGTTAATTGACTTATAAACCTGTAAGGACTCTAAAAGTTTCATGCAATGAATGATTTCAAAACTATGCAGTTGCAATAATTTATTGCTATATAAGATAACAAAATGCCTCTCGTAATAGATAACAAAATAGCCATGAAAAACTTATCACAATAGATAATAAATTAGTTAACTTATAATTTTGCAAGGACTCTGAAATTATCATGCAGTCAAAAGAGTATAAAACACTTTTAATGATGTACTATGATAATTTATTGCCTTACATGATAAATTAATTCCTTTATAAGGACCCTTACACCTAGGGTTTCTTTAGAGTTTCAACTGTATCATGATCTTTTTAGTCTATATAAGCATTTTTCATATATTATTTGCCTGATTATTATATTATTTTGGGATCTTCAAATCTTAGTATTAGATATTAGACTATTTTATTCTAATTGTTATATTATTTTGACATTTTTTTTGGCCAACTATTATTTGGAGATATTCAAATCTTCATAGCTCATATATTATTAATATTAATATTAGATCATGATCTGATTTGATTATATTTGTGTCATTTTTCTTATCTTTAGATCAAAGACCTTTTAAAATTTTATTTATTTTTTCACCAAAAAATATTATATATTTATTTTCTTGTTATAAAATATTTTTTATTCTTATTATGTTACAGAAATTTCTTTCATAAAATTTTTTCCCATTTCCCATTATTTCTTATTCATTTTTATAATTTTTGTAGATTTTTTAAATTTTTTATTATACTTATTTACTATTGTTTATTTTTGCTATTTATAGTTTTTGTTTTTTCTTATTGGGGTATGGATAATTTCTTTTGTTTATTATTTATTACTTTTTACTATATATATATATATATATGTTATGTTATTTATCTATTAGGATGTGAAAATTGAGTGAAATTAGGGCTATAAACAAGTAAAGTTAGAAAACAAATAACATTCCATAAGTAAATAAATAAAATATAGTATGGAAACGAACAAGTCATTTATATTATTTCTTTAAATGAGAGTAATTTTGTCATTTTAACAGGATCTCTCTACAATTATAAGTTAATTACACACATAAAATAAGATAGTACATAAATATAAAAATAAAGTAAAAACGCAACAGGTTTATATGAAAGCATGACCCTGAACTACATCTCTCTTTTATCATCATCTTCAATTTTTTTGTATAAAAAAAATTAAAAAAAATCGCACCTGCATGGCTGTGGAAAAGGCCCCTAGAAACCAGATCGCATTCTTACTGAAGGAAATACAGTTCCAGAGTTGACGCAAATTAAAGCAGAAAAAGGAACATTAAGTAATGGCATAGATTAATTCTTACTGTGTTAAGAGATCTTATTTTGAAAGGACAGCCCAGAATCACCCAATTTCTCTTCAATCACTTTGAACAATTTCTTTATCATCCATGATGAGAAAATGATTAAACCAATCACCTACTTCACCTTTCCTGAGGAAATCCCTGTTTTCAAACTTGTTTACAAACTTCCCAGTCTTGTTCACTTCCAATTCCTTCATCTTTTGAGAGCTGCACAACTCAATTATGTTTTCAATAACACCTTCACTTTCCTCCACAGAATTGAATGGGCAATCCAAGAACTCAGCAATTCTTTCCAAGTAGAATTTGATATCCCCTTTCAAATCCTCATACCTTAAAAACAATACCTTGTTTGGTCTCTCTTTGCTTTCTCTCCAATAACCCAACATATTTGTCCAAAATGGACCAGTCTCATAGATACAATTTGAGTAGCTCTCCAATGCTTCTTCGCGTGGATTGGAAGAGAGTAATGGATGGTTATTTTGTGAAGGAGAGAAACGCTTACGATTAACTAAGTAGTGCCAGATTTTGGCAGGGAGAAAAAAATAGTATCACTGTCTTTTACTTGGAAGTTCTTTTGAAAAGAGCTTATGGCTTGGATTCGAGTTGGTATATACCAAATTTCTTGGTAAAGATAGATGTTTCGGTGGCCGAAACCCTTGGTTTTGGGAAGAGAAAGAAGAATTTGCTTACATTCTTGGCTAAGTTTTTCATATTCTTCATCACAAGCCTCATTCTCAAGCTCAACACCTGAGTGGCTTCTTTTGAACGATGTGGTAGTAGTTTCAGCCATTGGAATGCCGCTATATAGTGAATTAACTTTCGTTTATTTGTAGGATGTTGGGTAATAATAGAACAACTGCAAGGGAAAAATCATGAAGACCTATCCAAGATAATTTCAGACAATAATATTCTTAAAAGATAGCATTCACTTTGTCATTCTATATATGTACGTAACGCCTTTCAAGTTTCAATTGTTCTTGGATTTTTCCTTCATTATTTTGCGTGTAAAAGATTGTTTGATTTTTTTTTTTTAATTACATAGTCATCAGGCCATAGGAAACCGTGCAAGAAGAAATTATCTGGCTATATCAAAAGACATGGTATTTCTATATCTAAGCCAAGATTGGCTCATCAAGGATTGTTAAGTCATAACATTCGTTAGTTTGAAATTAATTATCTCACTGACCACTGAAAGATCTGTTTGAGCAAAAAGATGATCCAGGTGACCTACGTTGAAAATGGGAGAATATTAGAAAATTTGGCCGCCTGAGTGGATCTGTAAATAAAGACAAAAAGTGCCTTTGATTCAACTTTGTTTGTGTAGATTTGCTATGATTTGTTAGATTATTTTAGGTAGCATATGGATTGATGGGTTCGAATTTAAAATTTAAATTAAAATATTATATTTGAGATGATAAAAAAATCTCCGTGAATTATGTAAATGATAATAAGGTTATGTAAAATATAATAATTCTTCCCAAGTCTCTTGGGACATTAATTTTCAGACATTAATGTCTCTTATAAAATGAGTATAATGCCCCCAATTTAAAATAAGAAACAGAGAAATGGATTAATGATTAAAAATTTTTGTAAAGTAGCTATAATTTATCTTTTGCTATCCTCTTTTAGTTATTGTCAAGAAAAAATAGTTATTTCTTAAACAAAAGTAGTTACTCATATTTACAATACTTGAATTTTAGTGATAAAAAAATTTGCAGAGGGGAAGTTATCATTACTTATTCCACTTTAGTTATTATCTAAAGAAAAGTTGTCATTATTTAAATTGAAGTAGTTACTGCTATTTACAACACTTGGACTTCAGTTATTAAAAATTTTGTAGAGTGAAACTTGTCATTTGCTACCCCATTCTAGTAATTTCTACAAGAAAATTGGTCATTACTTCAACCAAAAGTAGTCACTAATATTTACAACAATTGAAGAAATTTTCTCATTTCACAAAAGATATTAATGTCAGAAAGGATCCTAAGGACTTGAAAGTAATTATCATATTTTGCGAGACCTCATTGTTATTTTTTCATATTTCAAGGAGATTTTTCTTTCATTTTTGCATATTAAATTTAAAATCTCACATTTAAAATCTATGAATTTAAAATATTTTTTGGTTAATGTAAAAAGTTTTAATCAACTGGTGCTGTTGTGACACTGTGGTCATTTAATTACTTTCGATGCCATGACTTTGAACTTATTTATATTTGGTACATGAACTAATTTTAATATTTTAACTGCTAGTTGATCTAGAAACACTTTGCAAGGATTTTATTCAAGAATGTGCCTATGGTTTGGATATTTTTGGAGGATTATGTCAACATTTAAGAATGTTTTATCAATATTTAAAGTTTAATGTAAAAATTTGTTAAGATAAAACTAACAATGGTAAAGTTAAAGGACTAAAAAAATATTTTATAAAGTTAAGGGACTAAAATGAAACATTGTATAAGTTAGAGGACTAAATATGTACTTTAGCCATTTGTATTTTATAAAAGGTTGTTTTAATTGATAAAGAATAATAAAATTATAGTTCTTTCTATTAAATTGTGTTAACTGATGACTTTCAATATTTTATTGAATTTATTGGTGCTTTTAATGTAATTGGAAGTCATTTATTTAAATTTTGTTAGCAAAAATATGATTAAGTGAATGAATGTGTATGAAAATGGGCTTTGAAATGTGTTAGAAGTTAGTGGACCAATTCTATCATTTATTCTGGATTTTATGCATGTAAGGAGGCCTAATTTAGGGGCCCAAAGAAGAGAATATTGGATCCAAGTTAAAGGAATTAAATCTGAGAAAAAAATCTGAACAAGTCATGTTCACTGCAGTGAAACGCAGCGCGATTTTAGTAAAACGCACAGTTTTATCTCAGTAAATTTTTAAGACTGGAGCACCTCATTTTCGATCATTCTTCACCTTTAGCAGCAGCAGAATGTCCATGAAGAGGGAAATGAGCCAAATAAGGGTTGGAGAAGCTTGGGTTTAAACTTAAATCAAGGGTTTCGCTTGAGATTGCTCTGATTAAGCTTTTCTTCTCCTTTTTCTCTTTACTTTACTGTATATATTGCTGATTTTGGTGTCATGGAAGCCATGTGTGGCTGATTTTCTCTTAGTCTGGGGTAGCTATGAATTGATTTTTAGATTAGAGCATGTTTGAATCATTTATTTGAACTTAATATTAGCTTATTTGTTTACTTAATGATTGGCCACCATTGAGTGTGAATTTAGGGTTTGGATTTTATCTTGAAAGAGGAAAATTTGAATTTGACCATTAGATTGAGTAATGTGGGATTAGAATTTATTTTAATTTGCCAATAGAATAGAAATATACCTATTGGACCCATATAATCACATTAGAGTGAATTTGTGCCATTTTGCCTCTTGGGTAATTGTGTTAGAAATAGCAAATTAATTCAAGAGAGAGGTGTAATTAATCGGAAGATAATTATTCTTATTAAAACTATAGATTAACATATAATATTAAGTGAATTTATTTGGGTAATTATATGCTCTATGAATTGAAGAAGGGATTAGCCACCCTAAGTTGCCTTGATTGTTTGTGGTATTTGGAATTTTAATTTTAATGCATTTTTCTAATTTCAATCCTTATTTTGTAAAAAATCGAGTCCATATCTTGCTTTGCTCAACTTAAATGAAAATAGAGACTTTATTGCCTAATTACCAATTAACTTGATTCTTCATGGGATCGACCTTGATTTTCCACTCACGATAAAACATAATTGCATGCATCAAGTTTTTGGTGTTGTTGTTGGGGAACTTAGGCAATTAGTGATTAGAAATAGAGGACCTTGAGTAGTTTTGCTTGAGCATTTATTTTGTCATTTTTTTGTTTGTTCAGTTAGATCCTTGACCTTGTCTTGTTTTTGCAGGACTATTTCACATGCCATGTAGAGCTAGATCGAAAAGGACACTTGTGAGAACAAGGAGCTTCAAAGAAATTTTAGAAGCTATTTCACCTCAAACTCAACTTCCAATCGATGAAAAAGTTATAAACGAAGAGATGGCTAAGGATGAGAATGATAGGCTGTGTGTTACTGATTTCTTAGGTAGACAAGCTAGAGGATACCAATCTGGGATTAAAGTGCTTGACTTTCAAGTAAACAACTTTGAGATTAAGCAAACCATGCTTAAGATGATTGAGATGAATGGGAAATTTATAGGAAATCAAGATGATGAAATAGACATTTGGTGAACTTCCTTAACATATATGACTCATTCAAGCAAAATGGAGTTCCTCAAGATGTCATCCGTCTTTGCCTCTTCCCTTACTCTTTACAAGGGAAAGCTAAGGATTGGCTCAATAATTTGGATGAAGGTAGTGTCTCATCATGGGAGGAAATGGAAAGCAAGTTCAGATCTAGATTTTTCCCATATAACAAGATGGTCGATTCTAGAGCCAACATTCTTAATTTTTATCAACAGTTTGGCGAATATTTGTATGAAGCTTGGGAAATGTTTAAGCAATTAGTGAAGTAAAGTCCAGGGCATAATCAAGAAAAATGGGTTTTAATTCAAGTTTTTAGTAGCCGGTTGACACCTGAATCCAAGTCTGAAATGAATTCAGTCATTAATGGTAGGATTACAAAGCAACTAGTGAACTATATTTGGAACTATTTAAATGATCTTATAGCTGATTACATCCAGAACAACAATGAGAGAAGACCTGGGAGACCACAAGAAAGAGTTACTGATAACTCTTCATCTTCCCAAGTGGTAGCTTTGTGTTAGACTCTGAGCAAAAAATTTGATCGTTTAGAAGCACATGTTGATCGAAACGATGATGGGCCTATGGGAGCTCATGCCATATATGCTCAGTGTGATTATTATGGGGATGCACATGCTACTGAACATTACCATCTTTCTTAACAAGTTAAGACGGTAAATTATGCTGAGAATTATCATGGTAATAATCAAGTCAACCCATTTTCAAACAACTTACAATCCTGGGTGGCATCAGAATCCTAACTTTTCTTGGAGAAATAGTACAACCCTCAATCAAGCTTCATCTTCTAGTGCAAAGCCAATTTTTCCTCCAAGTTTTCCTCAAGTTAAAAAGTAATCTATTCCTATTCAAGAGTCAAGAGTTAACTTAGAAGAAGTAATGGCAAAATTGGTAGAATCTCAGATTAAGAATAGTCAAGAACAAGCTGCCATTAATGCAAGAGTTGATTCATCTCTAAAGAATCTTAAGGTTTAAATAGGTCAAATTGCAACTACAATGACTATACTTCATAAAGGGAGATTGCCAAGCAATACGGAGACTAATCCTCGTCGAGAAGGAAATGAGGAGTGCAAAGCAATTACCTTAACGAGGGGGAAGCAATTATTTGAAATTTCCCCTCCTACTTCTGAGTCTACACCTACGCCAAAAATTGATCAAACTATGTAAGAGTATCTTCTACACCTACTAAAGCTAAATGTGTGAATGTTGAAAATGATATTGAAAAGGAGTCTCCAAAAGAAGCAGTGACAACATCCAAGAAGAAAAGACCGACTAATGATCATCTTTTTTAGGTACCACCACTACCATTCCCTCAGAGATTTCAAAAGAAGGCATTAGAGGAGCATATAAGAAATTCTTAGGAATCTTCATGCAATTGCACATCAACATACCTCTTATTGAAACTTTAGAGAAAATGCCTCAATATGCCAAATTCTTAAAGGAGATATTGCGTAAGAAAAGGAGGTTGAGTGAATGTGAAATAGTTGTGCTTGCTAAAAAGTACAGTGCCATTCTCTTGAACAATTACCTCTAAA